AGTAGTAGAAAAATCAATACAATCACAAATGACAAAAAAAATTACTAGAGTGCAGTACTCATATTTTTGAAAAAGTAAACCCTACATTTGGTCAGAGAGAGAGCAGAATGAGGTGAAATACTCAAAAGAATCTACTAATGCAAATTAATAAATCTCTGTTTGGCAGACAGTTAACCATAGCTTGATGATTAAGACTGTGTTGCATTTGCACACAAACAGACAGTATAAACTATTGGTTACCTCTGAACGCTACAAAGTATCCTCTGTAAAGTTATATCATTTTATCTTTTAATACAGAATGAATTTCCTGAGATTCTAGAGCCAACTCTCTAAATAACTCAAAAAGATTAACAGCTCCATTTACAATTAACTTTAATTTATCTAGCATATCTTTTGTCACAAATTATTAAAAAATGTGAAACCTATAACTTTCTATAATTAAAAACTCACTGACTTTTTTAACTAGCCTAAGAAATAAGACTATAATTAAAATAATTTATTGCCTTATCTTATGGCAACTCATCCTGATTCTAAGACAAACCTAAAATTCAGTATCTATGCTTTAGGCCGTAAAGTGAAATTTAGACAGAATTTAGAAGCCTATCAGAAGGCAGTACAGGGGCTCATCCTCCAACGACTATCCAATACTTAAATATGTTAAGTCAGTAGGCAAAATTGTGCTCTAAGATTTTCATGGTTTCCAGCATACAACCAAAGGGCTCTGTCTCCACTATCTGTTGCATGCTAAAACCACGAGAGACTCACTCTGAAGGATTTGCTTTAGCATAGTTACTGCACATGGACAGCATAAAGCACAGGAGCCAAAATCCTTCTTCCTTGCACTCTGAGTCCACCTCCTGTAGTTGAAGTGTCACTAGATAATGGTGAAAGACCTTCCCTGCATGTCCAGATGGTACCAAGCCATTGTGCTCCATCACCAACCAAAATCCCTAGTGCCAGGAAGAGAGCACTTGCCTCTGCAGTCTGATAGTTTGGGCTGTGAGGTGGGAGGAACAAATCCTTGTATCTCTTCCCTGGGCTGCTCATTGCAAATTTATATTGTTCATCTTGACATATTTTGCAGTGGAAAATATGGATATTGTTTAACTGCTTCAATCCATAGCAGTTTCCAAGGAATAGCTTTGGTAACTCCACATGCTTTTCTCTTGTGCATCAAGGAAGTCAGACACTTCAGCTTTTCTTGTTTGCTCAGCAGGGACTCTGGGTATCAACCACAGGGATGGCGTTTCCACCAGATGGCAGGGGTGCTAAATGAGAGGTAATCAAATGCTGTGGTTTTGTGGGTCTAGCCCAAATACTATGTCTGATTGACCATTGACTTCGAGTAGAAAAATCCTGAGCTACAGCTGGTACCATCTCTACCCCTTAATGGCTGAAGTTGAAAAGATCAGTAGTCTTAAAGTTATTACTTTCTACACACCTCATTCAGCCTTCACAAAATACCTGTTTGGGATATAGAATACTAATGAAGAAACATAGCTCTCTGGTTTACATTGTGCTTCATGTGAAATTATTCAGTAAATATTTTCTATAATTAATATCTATAATAAATCTTTATCACAGGTCTAATGGATGAATGTCATGAATGGAAAAGAGAAAGGATATGTTATTCAAATAGATCAAATTAAATTAATTGATTCATTTAAAGCTCTGCCATTTCTTGTACATTTCCCCCCATTTCATTTCCACTGCATTTCCATTGCATGTCCTTCATTGAGGTCGAAATATAAAGTTTTCCCAGCTTACTTACCAGATCAATCTCATAATGAATAAAGATTTGAGATATTTTTCCATCCTCGTTTAAAAAATACAATAAAAATGTACACTTATTTGTGGACTGGACCAACACTTCTCCACTATAGACTGGAAAATTATCTTTATAGTGAAACTGCTGACCCAACATTAATTTAAGGCTTACATAAGCAGTCAGTATAATAAAGCTTTTTCAGTGCCTGTAAGATATAAATAAGATGTATTTGTCAATTGCTTTGCCCAGGCAAAATGTACTCACTTTTCATCCTGCACCTGTGTGCCTTTAACATTTCTTAGAATAGCAGTGGCACTGTATTCAAATACTTTGTCCATCTTTCGAAACTGAAAATTCTTCCATACTTCATTAGAGTCATGCTATCAAACTTTTGTCACCTGAGCACATCCAATAACACAAGAGTTTCAAAATATCTGTTTTTTTATAAGTATACTTACCTAGCAGTGTTCAGTCATGTCTTTGATGATTTATCTCTAAAAGTCTTTCATATGAAACTCTTGCAATGACAGTCTTACACAGCTTGCTTTTTGTACGCCCCAGCACCTCTCTGAAAAGCATTCCTAATACGAATTCTTGAAATTACTAAAATTTAGACTCAAATAAAGTGTCTGAACTGGGAAGACTGGATTCCAGTGTACCTGTTTTCTAAACTGGTTTATGCCCATAATTTAAACCCACAAAAATCTATAGAAATTGGCCGAAGTAAGCCACAGTGCCTCCCAAATTATACACACATTATATCTACAGGATTAAACTACCTGACCTGTTTTTCTTGATAAATTGCTTCCAATTACAGACTTTTCATGTGTCTTCTGATCTTTCCTACCCACTCTGGGGGAAAAACAAAACAAAACAAAACCCAGAAATAAACCAGAAGGGAATGTGTTTTGGTATACAAGAAGTCTCTGATAACCCTCTAACAATATCTGTGGAACATTTCATTTTCCTTTGAGTCACTGAGATGCCCTGTTGCATTTTGTGTAAACATAAAAGCAAAGAAGGTCTAGATTTCATAGTGGTGTGTACTCAGGATAGCACAAAAATATACTTTAATGAAATCTTTCAAACACTTTCCATTTTTCTTCTTTTTTCTTAAAAATGCAACATTTACAACTGTACTTGAAATTATAATACTTTTTATAAGCTCATTATATAGATTAATGCATTTCTCTTTAAAGTATCACCCAATCAGAAATTAAGCAGATTCCCCATCGATCTTCAGGCATCTCCATGTAAAAGCTCATTCCTTCTCTGACAACCTGTGTGAAAAGTCTGTCATTCACACAACACATCTGAAGCAGCAGTATAAAGTCTATCCCCAGGTACCTGCTATTCCATGAAGGAACATCAGGAGCTACTGGCAATAGCAGTGTCTTCTACCTCCAGAAAACTCATTGCCCTTCAGTGACAAAAATGCCCTTCATGTCACTCAGCCCTCCTTGCAACTGGAACCGACCACATGCATGGAGTCCCATGAGCAATTAAGGGCACTGCACATCAATTCCTTTATCATGGTAACTAACGTGCAGCCATCTCTCATTATGACAAGGAGTATAAATGCAACCTTGACAAGAACAGCCGTACTTCCCACATGAGCCCATTGTGTGAGGTGAAGTATGGCCATTTTAGTCATGCCATAGGTGCCTCTTACAGGTGACCCTGTGGGGTCCTTAAGAAGGAAGGTAGCAGGGTAAGGGCCATTAGCTGTTACGGTGGGTCTGGTTCTTATTCCCAAGATAGGCACCTTCTGCCACAGAATGCCGGCAAGTGAATAACTCTCACTACCTGCTCTGGGTACTGCTGTATTGCACAGGTGCTAAGCAGGTCTTAAAGGATGGTGAGATGGACTTCATAGCTTCGTGGACTTGTGCTGTCATGAGGGCTTCAAACTGACTTGACCAAAATAAATAATCATTGGAACAGAAAAGTTAAAAGGGAGGGAACAGTTTCTTCTGGGTGGATTATGAATCTAGTACAGAACTGTTTGACTACTTCATGATGAATTTATAAATAGTTTCAGGCCAACTGAAACTACATTTTAAGTTGTTAATGTATTCTTGGAAGGAAGACAAGGGCCATCCCCTGGTTATAAGGATAACAACTGCCTGTGATGAGCAACATTACTAATTCTAAGCAGCAAAACAGGTTACAGTTTCTTGTTTATAGGTATTTAGGCATTTAAATTTAGGGACAAAGCCTTTTTAATTGCAGCTGCTATTTCCTCTGCATAAAGGAGTATTTTGTGCGTATAACAGTATTATATGACGTTTTAAGACCAAGTTGATAGAAGTATGTACTACTCATCACTGTAGGCAGTCTGTTTTGTGTGTTTCAGAGTACTATGTTCATGTACCCTTTGCTGACATAGGGGGGTTTTCTCCATTTATTTTATTTTTCAACTCCTGCTTCACACAACTTCATTTCCATGAATTTCAGACATGAGATTGAAATAAGGCAATTCTAAATCATTAATTTCCTTTATTTTCAGTGTAAAGAATGATAAATGGGGAGTGGGGGCAGTGAGTTAAGCACAAAAGTTTTAAACCTTTTTAGAGGACAAGATTATTTCAAATCATTGACAGGGTCCTTTGATCTGTTTTCTTTGAGGTGTAGCACAAGTGAGAGCCGCTTTCCCTCAGCAAAAGTGTAGAACTTGAGTACTTACCCACATGCATCTATTTATTTCTTTAATTGTTATCATTAGAATGGGAGCACTCATAGCCAGCCACCATTGAACATGGCTAAGCCAGGGCACACTGTAGCAGTCTCAGGATTTCTGTTCATCATCCTACTAGACTGTGTGGACAAGCTTATAATGATCCATGGTGTCCTTTGAAAATAATGGATGGAGAGCAGAAGATGGTTCCCTCCTCCCACGGGGCTTGGCAGCATAAAACACTCTCCCGAGTTCAAGGAAAGGTTATTTGGCTGGAAGTCATTATTGTTTATACACCATTATACATGTCACTGAGCTCTTTATAAAGGAGGTAAGAAAACAGGACCTGAATCTGTCCTGCCTACAGGTTTACATCCATGACAAGAGAGGCAGAGGATCCAGTGTGAAGTATTATTCAACATGGACATTGCAGTTCTACACTGCCAAGAGAATTAACTTTATCCACCTTTTTTATTATTATTATTATTATTATTATTATTATTATTATTATTATTATTATTATTATTATTATTATTATTTCCTTCTCACTAACAGGTTATTCATCAGCTTAGACTTTCAGAGAATGAGAGTGTGGCTCTGCAAGAGCTTCTAGATTGGAGGAGAAAGCTGTGTGAAGAGCAAGAAGACTGGCAGCAAATCTTGCACAACACTGAGCAAAGAACCACAGCCCCACCTCCACCCCCTTGTAAAAAGCCAACGCTGCTGAAGAAGGTAGAAGATACCTCTTGCAACAGACTCTCTTCAGGCATATGGGATTCCACCATGTGATTCCAATGTGTGTGTCTGCAGACTGTAAGGAATGAAACCATGTAATGACTTCAATCTGCACAATCAGCAAGTTTTCCTCCCTTCACAGAGCGTGCAGGGATTTTTTATAAGCACTCATTCAAGAGCACAGGATGGAGGAGCTATTTAGATCTGTTGTGTGTGCGTGTACGTCTATGTGTTTGTTCTTTTCGTATATATACACATACACACATATGTGTGCACCTGTGAGTATATATATGTATGCATGTGTGTATATATATGGAGACAAACTGCACTATAAGTACTTACTTTAAAAGTACAAGACAAGTTGCTTAGAGTTCTCCCATGGACAATGAAGAAACTATGTTAAGCAAATGATGATGGGGAGAAGTGACTGACAGGCATTTTAGGGAGATCAGGAAAGTCTGTGTGCACACTGTACAGATGTTTTATATAGTACAAAAATATGATGTTTCTTGTTCCCTAATGAATGGTTTTATTATATTACATGTATACATATATATATTTCTTTGTAGATGTCTGTGTTCTATTGGCGTTGCAAACCTGAAGATTATTTACATGTTTATTACTGGTGTTTTATAACTTTATGCAATTGGTGCTGTCGTTCTTTCTTCAAAATACAGGTAATAAATTCAGTACTCGCATTTTTCTTTCATAGCTTATCTTTAACAACATACCAAACAGTTTCAACACTGTGGTTTTTTTTCAGAACTGGTAATATCCTTTCTAAAATCCAATCCTGAAATTCTTGCAAAGCTCCTATATACAGGTGTGATTTGATGCTGTTCACAGTCATCAATTAGAGAGCATGACTTTTTGGTAGACCTATGTATCTGAATGTGTGAACTGTGAATTCTGCAGTTACATCTCAAATCTTATTTCATTCTGGGTTATGTAAAATAATGAGGCACTCATTTAGATTATAAGTATGGTTTGAAACTCATACCTGATTATGCATAAGGTCAGGTGTCAGTGAAAAGATACATAATGGTAATGAGGTATGAAAATAGGGCTGTGATTTACTGTTACAAGCCAGAAGGCTTTATGGAGATGGGTGTATCAAAGGATTATGTCCTTATGGGGGTACAGTGATACATTTATACTTCAAATTTCATGTCATGAAATGGTTTCAGAAATTGGAGCATTCTAGTTGGCGAACATGAGTTTTGACCAGTAATGTTAATTTATGAAAAACATGTTGCTGGAAACTTGTTAGCTACTGCTCAGCAGTCTTTGAAATATTGCTTTGCCACTAAAAGGTGTATTTTATATATATACGCAGGTATTTTGTCAGGGACCGCTTATTTTAAATTCTTGGAGTATGTAGAGCCAGTGTGAAACACTTTTCTTGGCTGTTTGCCCCACTCCTATTGGGATCCAGGAAAAAGTGCTTGTAATTTTGCAAGTGGATATAAAACTAATATTTTCAAAGGTAAGCTAGATTTAAAAAAGTGAGCTCACCCTTAGTTGGAAGTTGTTGGGAAAGGAAAAAAAAAATGCTTGCCGATGTAGGTTTTTCCATCCTGTTTGACAGAAACTTCAGGCAGGCTGAATGGCAAAAAGCAATCACTTTTTTGTTTGTTTTTACAGGGAAGCAGCAAAACTCGAATTGTTCCCATGAGTATCGTGAAGCTGTAGGCAGAATTAAGCACCTTCTTTTGCTGGAGATTAAAATAGATGTTTTGAATGGACAAGGAAGAGGAGACACCAGGTTAGCTTAGACTTTTACCTTGTTACCACTGTTAGCTTCCCAGAAGTCCTCTCTGCAGGATTACCCATTTCTATTTCATGGAGAGACAGGAACTCTAGACTCTGAATCTGACCTTCAGTTGCTGTAAATGGCTAGATCATGACTTTATCCAGGAGGGGCAGCTAACCACTGTGAGGTTATGCAGAAAACAACTCTCACCCGCTAAATGATTGTGTCAGAACGAGGCTTTGCCTAGAAGAATTGAGGTTTCTGTCTTTTCCCTCAGATAACCAGGGACACACAGAGATCCCTGTGTGAGACCAAAATGATATGGCTCCAGAACTGGATGCAAGAGAGCTAATTAACCTGACCTTGCAACTACATTGCTTGCAGGATGGAAGTTGTTAGCCCTGCATAGCCGTAACATCTACCCAACCAGTTTAGCAATCCTGAACACCTCACTGCACTGAGACATGCAGACATGCCCTCATGCTTATCGCTCCTCAAGCAGGCCTGGCAAATAGCCCTCTCAAACTCTATCGTATTGCTAACTCTAATGCCCACTAGCTGGCTTGGCGACTGGTAGAAATCAATCCACAACAGCCTGGAGGTTCAGGGCAAGCTGTAAAAACTGACTGACAAGCCAGTTTAGATCACACCAAGATCCCTGCTGTGGCAGTGAGCTTGCCACCAGTCACCAAGGTAGCTACCTGCAAGGTGAGCTTGCGTATCTCCAGACAACACTGTTGTCATTGCTGCACTTGTAATGCAGGAGTACCCAGAGGGGAGAGAATACATTTGTCAAATGGAGTTTAAAATGGGAAGTAGTATAAATGCACATTATACTGCTTGCAGTCTTTACTAAAAGTTGTGTGATCAGCCTCAACTGCAGGAGCTAAAATGCGGTCTAAGAAACCTTTTTGCTACTCTTTCGAAGTCTGTGTTGTGCCCTATTACAGCAGTATGAACCGACTGTGGAAAAAAGATACGTAGATTTTGTAGCAGTTTCATGAACACAGTTACACAGTAGAAGCCAGTACAAACCTCATTCCAGCAATCTGATTCTCCAGACAATGAACAAAGCAGATTATTCCCCCTGTGCAGAAGGCCTTTGTTCTGGGTTTTTGCAAGCTTGGGTAAAGCATGTATTTTTCCGGGGCTCTTCCTTAAGTTATGTTACCACAGTGCAATATGACAAACTAAATAGCAGAAGATATGAGAGCTTTTTCTTTTTTTTTTTTTCTTCCCTTGATTTTGTTATTAATTCCAGGTCATGTAATGGCTAACTTTTTACTTGGGAAGATTTTTCAGGATATTCCATTAAAATACAGTACTATAAGAATAAAGTATTTGTGTTAAAACATGTTTTAAATATTTCTCTAATGGCAGTAAGAGACTCCAGAGTGTGACTTATGATGTCATAATTCACACCTAGTGTGTTCATTGGTCCCTTGGCCTTTGGCCTCGTGCCTAACAATGCAGTTGGTAGGGAATTATTATACCATAATTCACACCCTACTGTGTCTTATTGCTTAAATAACCATACCCCCAGAGGTGTCTTAAAACTACCATTAAAGTTTATATTGTGTATCAAAATGTGTTTACAGGGCTGGGAAAATATACTATCGACATTTTGAAATGTTGAGAAGTAGTTTTAGTAGAACTGTACAGTGCTTGTAAATTAATCTCCCCAGTGGAGTATGCACCAGGCAATTACAGTATTTCTTGAGTATATGAAGTCCTCTCCTGCACATTAAAAAATAGCTTAAACAAAACAAAACAAAAAAAAAGCCTTATGAATTTAATACTCTAAAGGGAAAGATTAAACTCTATGAGCATGTTAATGCCCTTAATATCCAATGAACAATCTAAAATATATTTATATTTGCAATAAAGCAATTTCAGGAAGCTGGGGTTATCATCAGATAATCACTCCTCCACATTGTGCCTTATTGCTTAATTTTTATTATGTGGAACAAACAAACCCTCTAACAAATCAGCCTGTCCTTCAGTATAAGGTAAGAGGAATCAGATATGTTTTACACTTTAAAAAGTCATTGGTCTTAAAGCCAAGGGAATTCTGAAACCGTATTAAACCACAATAAAAGAAAAACAACAGCTGTTGGCATGAGAAATTTTTAAAGCTTGGAAACCTTACTTGTTACTCCTGAAATAGCACTTGGTGTTTTTTTAGTTGCTGTAGTTACATTCCTATTGCAGATTATAAGCAAAACTTTGCTTTTAAAAACTGATTTAGATGTTCAGAGAAATACATGCACCAATATTTTACAAAAGATCTGTGTACAGCATGAAGTGATAAGCCTTTTAAAAATTTGTATTGTTTACAAAACAATAGTATGATCGTTGAATAAGTGAATTACATTTGCCTTTTTGCCAGTGATCCTTTTTTATTCCTTCTAAAAGGTTGACTTATTTTCATTAATAACTTTATTATACTGCAGATCCTTTGTGCATGGGACAAAGAATTTCATTAACTTGCTAAGAAAGCATAATAGATTGTAGCATAGTTCTAAAGTGATGGTAATAGCCATATTCATTGTAGTTTTTAATTCTGCTTTAGAGTATTGACATCCCTAGTAATCCTGTTATTCTTATCTCTATAAAGCCTGCTAATATCTGAAATGCTCTGAGGAACCTAAAATAAGTTTTGCCATTCGCTTGTTAAATAATAAATGTAATTAAACTCTGTACAAGTCAGTTTTCCAGAATGGTATTAAAAATTCAATGGCTTTGTGTTCGAAATATATAGCTTTTAAAAAGATAATGCCACCTGAGCATAACTATTTGACAGTATCTGAACAAAACAGAAGGGTGTATAAGGAAATGTTTTTCTTCCAGTTTTGCTGTTCTCTGTATACTCAGGATTTTCATTTTGAGAAGAAATAAATAAATCCCAGTGCTGGCTTATACTGTGGCTGTGAGAATTAGATCATTAGCAAAGTCTGTCTCTCCTCCCACCTGTGGTTTGGCCCTTTCCCCAACCACATAAATGTATGCTGGATCTAGCTGAACCATGGATTTTGCTGTGAAGCACCTTACGCAAAAATTTTGTCAAGTCATGATTTGACTTTTTGTGGATTTTTGATTTATTATAGTAAACAAAAAAAAACCTTCTTTAATTAGACAGAAGTATTTACTTCAACCTTAAGTAGCTTCTTTTGGTTTTCATATATGTGAATAAAATCCCCTCTTAGCTCTTTCTTATTTCCTTTCTTGTCAACTTAGGTTAATTTTCAAACAGACTTTTATGAAGGAAAAAAAAAAAAAAAAAAAGTGGTTAAATGAAATTACAGGATAACCTTTAGGTTTAATTTCTGAAATGAAACATTTTCCTTTAACAGTACTGAAATGGAATATTTCAACATGTTTTTCACCTTTTCTTTTCCAGCTGAAATTGTCTGTTGGGTGCAGTATGAATTTACACATAATTTGAACTCTTCACAGACATACTTCTCCCTAAATCTGCACTTCTCTGAAAAGACCATGCTAATGAATATTTGGTTTGAGATTCAGGAGAACTGCTGAGGTCCTTAGAAGCATCAACAGGGAAAATTTGACAAGCACAGATATCTTGCCATCATAGCAACGTTTATGTGACAGCTATTAGCTAATGCTTGTGCCCTCACTGTTTGTATTTGGGCTCTAGCCCCTTCTTAGTCTGCATGGATATGTAGTCACCTGTCTCCTGATATTCATTAGACTACAGAAAGAAAAGTGCTGAATCTGTCACATACCTCCAAAGAAAGGGGAGAAATGTGCTCCAGGCTCCTTCTAATTACTTCTTAATATAAATTACTTAAATATTTCTGAACATGGGAATTGGAATGCAACTTTCTCACTGTCCAGATGTGAACAAACCACTAGACTAGAAAGCTGTAGCAATGAAGTAGCCACAGCTATTAAAGGAACAGTTATGGAGGTATAGCTCCTCTATCTCACAACATAGTAGGGTCAGGAAAATATTCCAAAAACTAGAGAGGATGTTTTTATATCCTTTCAGGAAGACAACTCCGTGTGGATCATTTGAATTAAAATCATCTCTAGCTGGTTTTAGTTCAGACCCTCCCTAATACAGCGGTCTGAGCCTCACAAATCAGATAGGCAAGGGGATGTCTAGTGTTTAAGCAAGCATGACAGGACTAGTACAGGACAGTTGTCCTTGGATGGGTAAGTTTGGGTAAGTGCTTTGGAAATCTTCAAATACTATGACCTCATGGTTCTGAACAGCAGCCTGAAGCTAGATTTTGTCTAAATACTTGTGTTATGAATCTAGTCCCAATCAGTTTGTGCATTTAAGAACACCTTGAATAGAAATTACTCCTCTAATAATCTCCATTTATTATATTTTAGTAACTTGATTACTAAAAGTATTTATTCAAGTCTAGCATTTACTGATATAGCTCCCATGTCTGTAATATCAACTTAGTGTGTAAAAAAATAAAAAAATAATTTTAAAAGGACAATATGAAAATAAGTGCATTTGAAACATATGTCTGGGTCCATGAGCCTTACAGTTTCCATAAGTAACATGCTAGATGCCATATCATCAAAGATCAAGACAGCAACCCAAAAGTAGCTCTCAAAGTTTAAAGACTATCTTCTGCCTTGATTTTCTGTCCTACATAATCTTCAAGTCCTCATTAGGCATGAGCAGTTACGAGGGTCATGCAGCTTGAAAAACATGCATCTTTCATCTCCTGGGAGAGACAAACAACATCTAGACCTCAGCTTCTCTGAGGTGGGAAAGACATTCTGTTTAGTTGATCAAAGGCACAACGATGGATGC